CACTTATTAGAAATAAAGCTAGCCAGGCTTAAAAAGAAACATTGTGAAATGATTAAAAGAACATAGTGAAATAAAGCAAAATCCCTGTGGAGAGAAACCATCAAGGACAGATTCAATTGAGGAGAGTCTGGGCAAAACCAGTGAGTTACATTAACTCTATTGGAATCCAGTTTTTCTTTGGGAATTAAATAATATATTTATTAATAACTGGAGGAGGACACAGTGGCAGGAATAATATAGACCAGGTCTGGACAAAAATAAGGCCCATGGATTGAATCTGGCCCACCAAGCCACTGGATCCAGCCTGCGAATGCTGTGGGGAGCCCCTATCAGGCTCCCTGCTTTCCTTGCCCCACTCGGAAAAGCGGCTCCCAGGTGGTTCCTCTTTAAAAACTGTGAGCCTGGTGGGGAGGGGGGAACGCTTCAGGCACTGCCCCCACAGCTCCCAGCACAGTTCCATTGGCCAATTTCTGGCCAGAAACTGGCCAATGGGAGTTGCCAGTTTGAATAACAGGCAGCACATGAAACACCATGCCCCCCTCCCTTCTGGCTCATAGTTATTCACACATGCACATGGCCCTGTAGCCTGGGGGTGAGCGCGAGGGCAGGATCACTGCCTGCCTGAGAAACAAGCTGGTCGGGAGTCTCACAAGTAAGGCTCCTGGCCAGAGCCTGCCTCTAGTACCCCAGCCACTCCTCTGCCTCCCCATTCCACATACCTAAACCCTCTGTCCCCCTCCTGCATCCACACATGCAAGAGCTCTCAGTGGTCAGAAACGTGTAACCCCTTATTTGTCCACTAAGCCACTTTACTGATTAAAGTTACTTTAAATCATCTAATGAGTAGTTGGTTAGTCCAGTGCCCCAGGTCAGAACAGCCTCCTTCATCCAAACTCCCTCCCAGACCTCACTCTCTCTCCTGCACCCTAATCCCTTACCCCAGCCTCCTGCACCCAGCCTCCATCCCAGACCACACACTTCCTCCATTAATATAATGGAGGAGTGCAGCCCTTGACCACTTTCCAAAATCTTTCAGTAGCCCTCATCAAGAATGATTGCCCACACTTAATATAGAGTGGGGGAAGGAGGGAGTGCAGAGAGATGGCCTGCAGGCTGGATGCGGCCTGCCAAGTCTTTCAATCTGGCTGATGCCACTCCACCAGGACCCTGAGGCATCCCCATGGCTCAGAGCAGCTGCTCATTCTGCCTCTCTCCAGTAAGTTTTACTGGATCCTATTGGCTGCCCCTTTCTCCATCACAATCACTGAGCGCCCATTGGTTGCAACCCTCCCCCCCCACACACACACCCACACGGTGCTGACAGGCACATGAAGCAGCTGCTCTGAGCTCTGGTGCTGTGGCAGGCAGGGAGCCTGGCAGAGGGTCCCATTGGACTGCTGGCCTGGAGCTGCCTAGGTAAACGCCTCCTAGCCAGAGGCTGCCCCTGGCACCCCACCCTAACTCCCTGCTCCAGGACACTGCTCAAACCCTCTATATTCCCCTCCACCAGGTTGCAACTCCCTTCCAGACCCTGCACCCCTTCCCCCAGCCCTTCTCTCAGGCCAGAATCCTCTCCTGCACTTATACCCTTCCTTGACCCTGCACTCGATTCTCCTGCCCCAGATCACAATCCCCTCCTTCACTTAAATGCCCTCTCACACTCCATACCCTCTCCTGCATTCCAGTGCCCCGTCCTGAGCTCTCTTCTGCACCCAAGCTCCATCCCAGACTTTACACCTTTCACCTTGACTACTTACTAAAACCTTGGAATGGCTCCCCTATCAAATTATTGCCCACCCCTGATACAGACCCTTCCAACACTCTGTAAAAAGGCATATGGAGTACAAGGGAAAACTGTCCAACATCATCCTCTGTGATCATTTATCCACAAAGGAGTACATGATTTACAAGGGTGACTGTCTATTTCAGTCGTATGTAGAAGTTATGTCAAAAACACCTTATGGCTAAATGCTATCAGAGGTGACTGCTAGGGCCACATGGCTTATTCATTTCGAGGAGAAGATAATCAACAGTGCTAGTAAATGTTTGTTTTGCATATCAAGCTCTGAAATTAGGCTAACTCTAGTTAAGAAGATATGAACCCTCTGATACTATCTTTGCTGTAACCATTTCAGAAATCATTCCTAAACACGGGAGATTAAAATCTCCATCACAAGATTATTGGTGTTGAATTATAGTTTATTGAATATGATTTAATTAGTGTCCCATTGAGCACACCAAGCAATTTACTCTCGCAGAGAGCCCAAAGTTTCCTTGCTGGCTGCAACCAGACAAAACAGACATGATCCAGACACTTGATGTGTTCCTACACAATTCAGCTTTGCATCAGGCTATGCTGGCTGAAACACAAACCTAGAAGATGCTGCATTTGACCCCCTGAGTGGATTGCTCTGAAATCTCAAAAGCTGATTGCTCGGTCCAGATTGCTAGATACATACAGGCGACTCTGAAAAAGACTGCTGTTCAAGTTTCACTGAATCTGTGATGGAGGCACAGAACACTTCCTGTGCTTTTAACAGCAGCTAAGAGAATAAGGCTTCAAAAATGTCAGCTGCTCAAGCTCTACCACCGTCCATTTTGCTTTATTTGTTGCAACTCATGCGGAGGCCATGTTTCCCTCAGAGTGAAAGCCAGGAAAGAAGACATTTGGTGTTATTCCACTGATGGTGTAAACAGCATGTTTTGCAAAATCCCACCTGGTTTTTGATATTATGGTCTGTCAGCAAACCAGTATATTCACTAGTTCACTAGAGCTTTCTAGAAATGTTCAGGTTCTATTGACAATCCCATCAAAATAAGTTTCTCATCCAAACAGGATAGATGTATTTCATCCTCAGGTAGGAATTTAGTTTGCTCCATGTTATTTTCAGGATCAGATTATTTCCCAGGTTTACCCCAACTTCTGGCATAAATTTAGGCACAGAACAACAGAAGCAAAATGTTGACTGGGAGGGAGGTAACAAAGAAGGAAAGTAGCTGCAACCTCTCCTCTGTTGAAGGTGTAGGTAGACCTGCAGGCAGGCAGCCAGTACACCCAAGAAATAGACAGGGTTGGCTATGGAAGGACATCGGGGAGAAAGGAAATGAGCAGTTTCAGTGAATTCTTGTTACCGTCCCACATTAAAAACCCAGAGAGGTATTAGAGGTGGAATCCCTCAGGTGAATAATGGCCCACTCTACTATAGAGAGTACACATTACACCTTCTGTGCTGGCAGGGTTGAATCTGGCTTACATGTTATAATAAAAGGAGATAATTTTTCTTCCTTAAGAACTGTGAAAAATAATACTAGTAAAAAAACTATTCAGTCCAAAGATTTAGTAGCGATTCCAGAACAGGACAGCATATAGTGCTGTAAAATGTACTACTTGATATTTTACTATGGATCTGTTCTCACAAGTTGTGTTATTAGTGAAAACAGGTATTGCATGCATAGAGGGGGGGAAATTGGCACAGAAGTACTCAGACTCAAGGACTTCAAAAACTAAACCTAAACCAAAATAGTTCCCAAAACCTCTAGGACAAAGGGAGAAAGATTTATGACAAAATTATCTATGACCTTATGAATGACAATAGTTTCTTTGATATAATAAAAAGTTTGCTGTCATGAGCAGGTAAGGAGCAGAATTTTAAATCTATTAATAGAGTCTTTCATCTGCATTTTAGTGCCTACAGAAACCCCTTTCCCATACAAATTATACTTTTAAGACTAACAAATCTCACTACACTCATTGGGTAAATGTGCATGACTATGCAATACAAAGATCACAAAAATAGTCATAGATTGTTGTTACTACTGATTTATAGTTTCAAATAGCTGTTCAAATGCTGAACAACAACTGAAAATATAAGCCCATGCATTTTATACAGGTTTTCCCTCATTTTAAAATCAGGGATATTTAATTTTTAACCATGCGGGATTATACTCCAGGATGGCATTTTGGGAGTGTGAGGAAGGGTGGGGAAAGCTTTAGGCAGCAGATACTATAAACTAGCATGGTTCTTTTTGGATGGCAGAAAGAGAAAAAATCTTTACAAAAACCTCCTAGAAACATCACCAGAGAAACTACTTGTGCTGTTAGTTAATGGTAAAACAAAACATTTCCTACCCATTAATGTAAAAATCAGGTATTGAATCTGATTCCACAGATGATGTAGTATGATAAGAAAGGCCAAAACTGATATGCAGAATGCTAACTCCTGTGAGGAAATAAGAAGAATGCTTCACTAATATTGTCATAATAAACTGGGCTGGCTGACTATGGGTTTGGTGAAGATACTCAGTTTTCAGAACACTTTTTTCAGTTGTCCTTTTACATCTTACTATTTAATTTAGGAGATTGGAAGGGGGGAACAGAGACATGAGGTATATGCCCAATCTCTGGTTTGTCAATGGTTCTAGAAACTGTGAAAAATTAGTCTTAAACTATAGGCAGAAAACAAACTAATGTTTGCATACTTAACATGATCACTGCCATGTGGCAGAGGCCATTTTACATATGACTTTGCCATTTCTATTTGTCCCAACACTGCTTCACCACTCTTCCACTACAAACTCATTCCTATCAAACCTTCTGATGTACAATACTATGACTATCCACCTACTTGCCAGACCCAGAACCATGCCCCCATTATATTCTCACCTGCTATTCCTCCAGCAATGTACACACACATCATACTTATTTCCAACAAATATTGAAACATAATCAGTACATAATTATTCATAAGCATCATGAATTGTCACAACTCTTAAAAAATTTCTTTCCCTCTTGTTTACTCTTGTATATCTACTTTCTCTAATTGATTTCTTCAATTTGCTTCCTTGGTTTGCTTGAAAGCCACTCCAGTAGGTTTTCCAAAAAATAAATGTCACATCAAACATTTGTTTCTGCTTTTTTACTGTTCTTGATAAAAAGGGCTCCAAACAACAGTTCTTATACAGGCAAATCTCTCACTAAGGTAAATAAATGGGCATTTTACCTGACTGTGCAGTGGAGGATAGGGCCCTAATTCTTTGTAATAGTTCTGTAGAAATAACAGCAACAAGAAATTTTACTTTGAATATTGTCTGCTTTTGCCATCTTGTCTGGAACACACTTAAGACAATATTATCAAGGTAGGTTTCATACTTTTAAAGAATATTTTACTCTACTCTTGTTCACAAATAAAATCCTGACCTGGAGGGATTAACTCTGAAAACTGTAATGTAGGCCAAATTTAGACTTCATTGTGACTCTTAATGAAAATCTTTCCACTGAATTCAATGGTTATTGTATTGTATTGACTCTCAGTCATTAGAGCTATGCCCCAAATGCCACATCTGAATTTACTCTTGTTTCTTTATCTTTTCCCCCCTGCACACACATGTTTGTTGTTGTAGGGTTGCTCAGGAGTGCCAAACTGCTGTTTTTTAAAATATATTTTAAGAAAAAACATAGCACTAAAATATTTGCTACATGCATGCACAGGCACACACATGTACAATGCACACAAGCATGCACACAAGTAATCTTCAAAAACAGGATGTCGACATCTTCAAAAACCTACCTCTTTTGACTTTGACCCCCAGAAATGAGACATTCCAAATTAGTGGATGCTTTTTAAATGTAGGCCTTAACCAATTTCCACACACAAATGCAGTCACAGGTGAGTTGTGCACATTTTTCATATGTCCCTCTGCACTCCATAAATCTTTAGTCCATTAAAAATTACATAGATTTTACAAACAAACATTGTGGAAAAAGTTAAATTTAGGATCTGCCAAACTATGACAGTACTGTATACTTTTAAGAAAAAAAGATAAACAAAGAACCATTGCATAACATTATGTCATCAATACTGATGTCATAATAGTGATATTCTAATATCAGGCCAACATTTCTTATGTTCATACTACCTTTGATCATAGTGCTTTTGAAAGAAAGCTTTTGGAACTGGTATTTAAAATGCAAAATTAACTGAAATCACACCATGCTTTTAAAATTGTTGTCAATAAACAAAAGAGCCCTGATGCTTGCATAGCCCCAGTGTGTGTAGAGAAAAGGCTAACCAAGAGCAACCGTACATTCCAGATGTGTGACAGATACAGCAGTAAAACTACAGTGGGTAAAACAGCTGCCTATAAATGGTTATAAAATTGCCTCTGATATATAGGTTCAGGTTTTTAACATTATATCAAGGTAACTGTGTGGATTTTGTTCGCTACTAACGTGTAAATAACTGATGTGCATGAGTGCCTCAGATATTTGCTCCCACATATTGGTTGCACTGGTACATAAGTTAGACACAAGCAAATATATGCACATCACTGTGGATTTGATTTTTAATCAAACGTATTAATCTGTGGACCACACTGAAATCCCAGTGACTTGTACTTCCATATTTCGGAGCTAATGGTTTGCCTCTACATTTAAAAAAACCCAAAATTTCCTTTAATATTATGTTGCATTTGGACTCAGTGGCATGCAAATATACTTGGAGATACCATTAACACTGACCTGGGAAGTAGCTGCAGTTGTGCTAGTTTCTTTACCACTCCCAGGTGCACGCTCATTGCTTGTTGCTGCTTCTGTAGTTTCTGCCTTCTTTACATTCATTTCCAGAGAAACAGAAGGCTCTACTTGGCCCAACCCATCACTTATTTGGGTCAGACTTGAGCTGCTTGCTTGCTGTGATTTGGCCTTATACCAACTAGGGTAAAACAAGGGATCGAAGGTTTCTGCTGTTGACGGCATTTGAGTGTCAGACTCTGCAGTCTGTTGAGCACCACTTGGCACAACCTCACCCTTAATCAGGATAAAGTAAAAAAAAAAAAAAAGACACACAAGCAGAGTGTACTATGTTACCTTCCTGTGCTCAGCTTATATTTCTCTGCATGCCATGTTTGTTTTTATCTCACTGCAAAGAATATATTGTTTGAGGTCCAAAAGAATTATAACTGAAATACAGAGCATAAGGACAGGTCTATACTATGGGGCAATGTTGACCTAAAATACGCAACTCCAGCTATGTGACTAGTACAGTTGGATTCGACATACGTTAGGTCAAGTCGCTGCAGGGTCTCCATTGCAGGAGGTCGATGGGAGAAACATTCCCATTACTTTCCCTTACACTTCTCATTCTGGTGGAGTACCAGAGTTGACAAGAGAGCAATCAGTGATTGGTTTAATGGGTCTTTACTGGATCTACTAAATTGATTCCCCGGGGGATTGATCACAGTAGTGCCAATCTCCTGTTAAGTGTACACCTGCCCTAAGTGTCTAGCATTTGGATACAATATGTATGGACAATACAAACTCAGCAAAATGTAGCTTCAAAGGGAATCTTGCTTGAGAAAAGACTGAAGGAGATGCTCCTTTTTATTCAGTGTTCCTTTCTTTTAGAGATATTGCCAAATAACGATCCAGTATTCAGAAATGTCTTACTGCTAGTCTGGATGTTCTTACTCAGAGTTTTCAGAGTTCATATTCAAGTGAACATCCAATTCTGGGTAATTACTGTGCTAAAATATACCACACAATGCATTAGAATGTTCAGTACTGACTTCACACGCTGAAGATGACATATGTGGGGTCTGACCTACTGCCCACTAAGTCAACTGGAGCCTTTTAAATAACTTCATTGGATTTGGGATAGGGACAGTAATTTATTTTTTAAAATAAATATTAAGAATTGTATCATTCAACACTGATTCTGTTGATGTGAGTGGGTGGAATAAGCAGCCTGTAATGACAATAGAGATAAATGCTTGCCCACCACATGAATGTGTATATATAATAGTTGACTGTAATTATTCCTTATCAATGACTGGAACAGATGACAGAACTGCATCCTCTCTACCAATGTCAATTCTTTTCAGACTAGCTAGATATTACATTCTTCTCTGCTTTTGCTAGGCCAACAAGAAAAAGTTGAATTGCAAATATTCTACATATTGCATCTCCCATATGCCATTCTGGCCAATGCATAAAGGCTTCTTAAAATTCCTAATGGGCTAGATCAGCATGTCTCTTTTTTCTTTTTAGAGGCGTGGGATTTCACAAATTACAAGGCAGTTCATTTTATAATTAAGCCTGGTCTATATATGATGTGGTACCAATTTAGTTAAAATAGTTTAGTTAAACTAGTTCAATTCTGCATGTGAACACTCTTAAATCACTTTAACTGTGCTTATTTAGATTCAGATTAAGTTGGTAAAGAATCAGGTTAAATCAATATAAGCCATTTCTAAACTGATTTAAGAATATCCACAGAGAAATAGCTCAAACCCGCATAAACCCTCAAATAGATCAAAGAAGATATAAATCCACATCATTTATTTTTCTCCCTACTGTTAAATCAGAACTTTGTCATAAACACAGACTCTTTATTTGCTTCCTTGTTTGACAGTGGCGTACAATGACTTCAGTATAGTGCAGGAGTAAGGATTTCAGTGGAGTTGCAGAAGATTAGAGAGATCAGGTAATACAGTTTATGAACTCTTCAGAAGGCATACTAAATGTGAAGTTCTTTTGGCACACAGTACATGTTTTTAATTTTCACCTAAAAAGTTATTACAACTGTTCATTTCTACTAAGCAAAAAACCAAACAAAACTGAAAATCAAGTTGTCAGTTCTTAAGGGTTTTGCTCCAAAATTAAACCTTAATAACCAAATATTCTTTGATTTATACAAACAAAACTACAATATTCTTAAGTCAATGAACACTCACACATACGCTGCTTGAATATAAGCAATGACAGGAAAACCATTGCTTTCTTCCCTGAATGGACTATATTTTTGACATATTTCTGACACAATTTAGCATCAATTGGATCATATTATATCATTCTAGAATGCTCTAGAATGGAGGAAACATTCAGCATAGCTGATAAGATAGAGAATGGCTGGGTGTAATTACCTGACTAACTGGTGCATCTGGTGGTAATGATGTGGCTGGTTCAGTCTGAGAGCCTCCTGTTGTGCTCTTGGTTTCTGAGGCCAGCTGAGATTGCTGGGATACTTTGTCAGTTACCTCTTCCTCCTCACCAGATGACTCTGTGCGGACTTCATCAAACTCTTCACCCTCCATCACATCCTCATCTTCCTCATCACCCTCCTCCTCTAATAAACATTCATATTGGCACAGAATTAGGTTAACACAACAATACGTAGGTTATACTCTTTATACAATGCAGAGATTTAGAAATATGATGTTACTATGGTAACTGTACAGTAGGTCTATTGATAGGGAAAGGGACCCAAGGTGAATGTTTTCTCAAGGGACAATACAACTCATGCTTTAATTCCAGCTGATGGTCATAAGGGCAAGACTGCAATCTGCCCTGGATTCATACGCCAGGAAGGAAGACAATGCAACAGAGAGACAGAGACCACAGGAAGAGCCATCTCTGCCCACAGGCCTTCAATACAAAGACTAGGCAAGCTGGTCAGTGCCACCAACAGTATAGGCTCCCCAAAGGTAGTTGGGATGGGAAAACAGACTGTATTCTGACACAGAGTGTTGCAACTGTTGCAATCCCCTGGACTGAGGTAAAAAAGCCTCCACAAGTGCTCCAAAGGGCATCGGGTTGCCAACTTTCCATTTGCTAAAAAACAAACACTGCTGTCCTGTCACTTTCTCATCCGTTCCCCGAGGGCTTGCCTCTGCCCCACCTCTTCTCCATTGGCCCACTTTCTGTTCACTTTATACCCCCTCCCTCCATTGTTCGGTTTCCCCCACCCTCGCCTACTTGCCCATTTTCACCAAGCTGAGGTGCAGGGAGTGCAGGCTCTGGAGTGGGGTCGTGGTTGAAAGGTTTGGGGTGCAGGAGGGTGTTCTAGGCTGGGTTCAAGGGGTTTGGAGTGGGTGCTACAAGATAAGGCATGTGGTTGAGGTGAAGGATGGGATATAGTTCTGAGCTGGGGCAGGAGGCTAGATGTGGGAGGGGGCTGAGGGCTCCTGCTAGAAGGGTGGGCTTTGGTATGGTGCTAGGGATGAAGGGTTTGGGATACAGGAGGGAGCTCTAACTTGGGGGCAAGAGGAGGGAGCTCTGGGCTGGGACAGGGGTTGGGCTGTGGGAATCACAAAATCATAGAATACTAGTACTGGAAGGGACCTCGAGAGGTCATCGAGTCTAGTCCCCTGCCCTCCTGGTAGACATTTATCCCTGATAGACATTTATCTAACCTACTCTTAAATAGCTCCACGGATGGGGATTCCACAACCTCTCTGGGCAATTTATTCCAGTGTTTAACCACCCTGACAGTTAGGAACTTTTTTTTTTAGGAAAGTGTGTGGGGTTTGGGCTGTGGCCAGTGGTTACCTCAAGGGGCTCCCAGGAGCAGCCAGTATATCCCTCTGCTCCTAGACACAGGGGTGGCTAGATGATTGGACTCCACATGCTGCCCCTGCCTGCAGGAGCCACAGCTCCCACTGGCTGCAGTTCTTGGCCAGTTGGAGCTGTGAAGTTGGCATTCAAGACGGGGCAATACACAGTGCCCTGGTGACCGCTCCTGTGCCAAGGAGCAAGAGGAGGGACATGCCAGATGCTTCTGAGAGACATGCAGAGCAGGTAGAGAGCTTGCTTGCTTCTGTGTGGGCAGCCAACTGGACTTTTAATAGCTCACTCAGCAGTGCTGGTCATGGCCAGCAGGATCTCTTTTGGACCAGGCATTCTGGTAAAAAAATTAGATGCCTGGCAAACCTAATAGGGAGTGTGACCCCTCCCCAAACTTTACTACAAGCTGATTTAACCCAAAAGATAGGAGCAAACACATTCAATATGTTCTAGTGTTAATATTCATGAAAGCAATATTTTCAAATGGAGATATATAAGCTGTACAAGCAAAATGTACATATGCATTGGGTACCAATTCATATATGAAAGCCACTGTCACACATGAAAATGGGGTAATTGTGTCCATTGTAATTATTGTTCAGTATGAGCAAATGTGTACTCTTTATGTATATTGCATATGCACACTTATTTTGCAGGCATAACTTAGGCAGAGGAAAATTTACCTTCAGATTTCCTGAATCTTGCTCTAAAAATGTGCATTTACCTTTAGTGAAATTAGTAGTAGAACATGAAAGACACCACTAAGCACAACCTATTCTCTAATGGGCATTTGTCCACATCACAAACTAGCAGCCACAGTGTGACACTTCAGCTGAGAAGTGGCACCAAGATGGAACAGCAAGAATATTGCATAAAAGAAAAACGTGATTGGCAATACTATTTGAGAGAACTTGCTTCTTGGCAAAAACCTATTTGTTTCTATGGGCCAGTAGCAGCAATTACTAGCATGGGTTTATAAATATAACATCTTGCCAGGATATCTCTCTACCTTTTTAAATTCTAGGAAAATAACATTAGCAGGTGAAGGGAAAGGGGTAGATTTACTATATTTGGATTTATTAAAGCATTTCAAAAGTGCCCCATGAAATCTTCCTCACTGAATCAATTCAAATCAGTTTGGATATGAACACTGTCAGCATGGACTGCAAATTGTCAGAAGGACTGTAAAGAAAGGCTTATGATAGATGACAGAATATTAACTTGAAGGGATGTGTCTTGTGGGAAACCACAGACATTTGTTTTAGTCCTGCTCTCAATAACATCTTTGTAGAGGAAGGAATATATATAAAGTTAATAAAATCAACACAGACTATACTAAATTGAGAGGGGCTGTAAATATCAGTGAAGATACATATTAATATAAAGGGCCTAGAATAATCAACAACATGGGAAGCAAATAGCAGCATGATATTCTACTAGGAAAAACACAAGGTAATAAATACATTTAGGGTGCATCTACTCCCATAGGTCAAAATAAGATACACAATTGAGCTACTCACATTGTGTATCTTATTTTGATCTAATTTTGAAATAAACTGCTATTCCAAAATGTCCCTTAACCCTCATGGAACGAGGGTTACAGGGACGTCAGAATAACAAGCCCATTATTTAGAAATCTATTTTGAAATAATGGGCTGGTTCAAAAGATGCAGTTTTGGGATACCTCTGGTATCCTGATATAGCGCTGCAGTCTAGATGTACCCTGAGGGAAAAAATAATCCAAAGCACAACTTTTCAATGGGAAGATGAAACCTGGCGAGCACTAATGCCAGAAGAAACCTGGAGGGGATAGCAGAAAGCAAATTAGAAAAAAAGTTTTCAATACAATGTGGCTGTAGAAAAGGCCAATGCAATGCTAGAATGCATATATGGAGGACATAACAGGACAACAAAGCAGCAGAACCTCTCCCTATGGCTCTGATGTGATGCCACATGGCATATTGGGGCCACTTTCTGATGCCATTTATATTGGTGTACATTTGGAATATCTCTCTTGATTACAAGTTTCTGTAGATTTACAATGGTAAGATCAGAAACAGGCCCATTTTATTCAGTTCTGGACAACTTATTGCAAGACAGTTATTGACAAATTGGAAGAAAGTCAAAGAAAAGCAATACAAAATTATGAGGGTTTGGCAGGATGGACTTCCGAGGAAAGATTAAAAGAATCAGATAAAGCTCTAATTTTAAGTTAATTTAGGTCTACATTAAACCATTCCAAAGAGTATAAATTAGAGCAGAATTTGTTCTGAAATATTCTCAGGATACTGTTCCCAAATCAGAGCTTGGCTTGCTGCTGCTACTTCAATGGATTCATCTTCTACATTTTTGGTATCTGTAATGCCTTAAGTCATTACTGAATTTCATTCAATCACCTTTTTGCAGTGTGGTAAAAAAACCTACAGATTTTGTTTCACAAAATTGTATTATTCCTCCTTACTACCATCAAACATTGGTCAGAGCTATCACAGTACGTCAGAGAAATAATCCTGGACAGATTAGACAAACATCTGTCAGGGATGGTTCTAGGTATACTTAATCCTCCCATAGCATGAGGGGATGGTTCTAGGTATACTTAATCCTCCCATAGCATGAGAGGATGGTCTAGATGACTTTGAGGTCCTTTCCTGCCATACATTTCTATGACCCTTTGATGTATTAATTGTAGTTTCAAACTGACTATATATTTATCAAAGGTAGGGATAATCTTATCTTTCACCCAGGAAGATTTTGCTAAATCTTTTCATTGGCTTACATGTTTTGTATCACTATAGAAGACACCAAGAATGAATTGCAAACTAGATAAAGGAATGTTCTTACAGACTGATATAGGTTATAGCTCTCTAGTCCGGCACCCTTGGGACCTGACCTGTGTCAAACCAGAGAATTTGCCGGACCACAGGAGGTCAATATTGTCTAACAGCATTACCAACACTTCCACTGCTAACTGGGCTCTTAGAAGTCACTGAGGTTATGTCTACACTATGTTTTTTTGAGGAAGAGGCAATGCAAATGAAGCGCTCATTAGCATTTTCTCACACTTCATTTGCATAGTCTCTTCCAATCTGTTTTGCGCAAGGGGTTTCTGAGCAAAAACAAGCAGTGTGGACGTGTCCAGTTTGCGCAAAACCCCCTTTTTGCGCAAGTTCCTTATGCCTCTATTTTACAGGCATAAGGATCTTGCGCAAAAAGGGGTTTCTGCGCAAAACAGATACTTCCACATTGCTTATTTTTGTGCAAAAAACTCTTGCGCAAAACGGACCGGAAAAGACTATGCAAATGAAGTGTGAGAAAATGCTAATGAGTGCTTCATTTGCATTGCCTCTTTCGCAAAAATTTCATAGTGTAAACATAGCCTCAGAGTAAATTAGAGCTAAATAACAGCTCACAACACTGAGAACCAGGACTGGTGTCTGTAAACAAAATTTATGGGACTGTGGAAAACTTGGCCACAACCATAAAAGTGGACATCCAGGTAACTAAAATCATGTATGACCACAGATGTTGCTCGACCAGAGAGTGCCATACTAGAGAGGTCAACCTATACAGGAAGTCATCTTGACCCTAATCTTGAAAGCCCTGAAAACAGGGGCTCTGTTGACTTTGGTGGGAGTGTTAGTACTAGGGATTAAGATTTACCTTTTTATGTTGAAACTGTATATTGACACACAGCCTATTAATGGTGTTATGAGCATGTGAAATATAAATGTAACAGTAAATCCCCAGGTCAGTAGGTAAAGTAGAGGACCAGTCTTATGATTCTCTCTATTTTTAGATGTTCAAAATTTTGAGAGAGAAATTCTATTTATTTCAATAATTCCTTCCCATCACTTTGTAAGCAGAAGCATAAAGGTGCTCAGATTGCATGGTATTTTGTTCAGCACAGAATAGTAAGTGTATACTGTTTCATATATTCTGACATATCAAGCATATAGATGACACCAGAGAAGATCTTTAGATTTATAAAAAATAATGGTATCTTTGTTTGTCTCCATAAATGTATGAGGCGGACTTTCATTTACATTTTCATTGACATTTCTCTGATATAATTAAAAAGAAAATATATTATTCATAATTTTATTAATTTTCATTATTCTGTTTCTTTAATGATTTCCTATATTGGACAGTCAATAAATCAGCTGTTTCTCATTTTAATGAGAGACTAGTATATATACAGGCCCGATCCTACAATTCTTTGACATGAGTAATCAATGAGTAAGGACTGAAGGATCTATACTATATTAAAGGAAAACTAGGGGGCTGTGCCCCCAGCTCACTATACTCGCAAACCCCACTCCTGTGCAGGGTAAGCAACCCCGGCTCTCCACCCGGTCACCAGGGGCTGGGCTGTAGCTGCGTCAGCCCGGGCCACTTCTCCTCCCCCACCAGCAATACCAGCCTGGGCCCTTTCTTGTCTCCCTTCCCTCCACCCCCCCACAGGAAACTAAGGGTGTGTCTAGACTACATGCCTCCTTCGATGGAGGCATGTAGATTAGCCAGATCGGCAGAGGGAAATGAAGCCGCGATTAAAATAATCGCGGCTTCATTTAAATTTAAATGGCTGCCCCGATCTGCCGATCAGCTGTTTGTCGGCAGATCGGGGCAGTCTGGACGCGACGCGCCGACAAAGAAGCCTTTCTTCATCGGCACAGGTAAACCTGGTTTCACGAGGCTTACCTGTGCCGATGAAGAAAGGCTTCTTTGTCGGCGCGTCGCGTCCAGACTGCCCCGATCTGCCGACAAACAGCTGATCGGCAGATCGGGGCAGCCCATTAAATTTAATGAAGCCGCGATTATTTTAATCGCGGCTTCATTTCCCTTTTCCGATCTGGCTAATCTACATGCCTCCGTCGAAGGAGGCATGTAGTCTAGACACACCCTTAGAGAGAGAGAGAGAGAGAAAGAGATAAGAATCATCTACATGTTACATGATTCTGAAACATGGTGGATTTTACTTCTGATTATGATTTATGTTGAATCTATTTATGTTGATCTAGCTAGGTTTGTAGATGGAGAGGAATATCTGATTTGAATTTTCCTTACATGGTACTTTCATGTAAATTGCACAGAAGTGAAAAGAAAGAAAAGTTTTGGTCACATCAGTGACATACCTCTGTAAAAGTCAATTTCTCTTATTATCTTTTCTTCTCTATTGAGGTTGACTGTGAAATGGCTCATATTTTCATAGCCAGGCTCTATTTTTTCCATCTGAAATGCTTTGGATGCTTCAGTAATTCTAAAATAGAAATATTTTGTCATTTGCATTTGGGTTGACAAATAATGTATACAAAATGGATAATTTATCATAAATATCACTTCCTCTCAAGTGGGAAGTACTTACTTTTGTAGCAATGTTTTGGCATTCTGTGAAAACAAAAGTGAAATGACTGAGTGCTTAAAAGGTTCATTTTTAGTAAACAGGTTTTACACTTTGATACTTAATTCTTACATGTTCTGTTTCTAAAGATGCTAGCTTGAGCTCTCATTATAAAGGAGATCTATGGGGCCTATAAATAAGATTAGACTGAGGTGGGAACTAGTTTATATGTGAACTACAGGGTGTTTTAGGGCCCCTCCCCAATTCTTATTTATATTAAGACCCCTTACTATTTGTTTTCATTGAGACAGATATATTCATATGCAGTGCACACACACGGCTAAAACTGAAACAAGACACTTGACCCACACAACTAATATTCCTTCCCTGACACTACCCACATACTCGTGCTCACCTTGACAGGGACTTCTGTTTCCTAAAAATTGGACTGGGCAGACTTTCTCACAGACTAATTTATCCAATGAATTGTGCCTTTTTGCTATATGCAAATTGATGGAGAGTAGACTTCTCAATTTTTACAAATTTATCATTATTCAGAACTGTTCCATGAACTTTTCATTCTAGGACAATGTCTGACTATTCACAGCATGTGATCTTTAGTTCTGAAGCCTTACAATTCCACATATCTACACAGGGATTTCTGTCATCCAGGATGAATTCTTGCTCCTGCACACTGTTTCTGTAAAAAGGATCCTCCCTGCTGGGGGGATCGATGAAATTTTAAGATTCCAGAATGGAAGGTCACATAAGACCCAATCCTACTTGACTGAAATCAGTGGGAAGATTTTAGTGATAACAGGTCCAAGAAGGAAGAATAGTTTCATAGTTAAGGCATTGGAATGTGACCTATAACATCTGGGTTCGATTTTAGACTCTGTAGTAACCTGAGTGTTCTTAAGCAAGTTATTTAACCTCTCTGTGCAGCATATGCAAAATAGGGATAATAATACTGATCTCCCTCAGAGATGGAATCACTAAATCCATATACAGAATTGGGGTTTACTCAAATGCTACAGTGTTGGGAATCATGTTAACATATGTGAAAATATTGTTTCTGCTTCCTGGTTAGATGACTGAAAACTTATAAACGAGACAGCATTTTCATTTACTTACATTCTCATGCTCACCCCTTTCTTGCACATGATTCAAATGAAGAACAATAATTTCTGAACATTGCTATGAATGAAAACTCATTTGTGAGGATGTTCACTGGGAAGTGAACAAATAGGGATTGTACTTGACTTGAAAAGAGAGTCACAATTTGTTTGTGATTAATTTCCCCCTCTCTTTTCCTACCTCTGTTTAGAAACCTCTGAAATATACCTGCAAAAACACTGCCATTTCTGGTTCTTCCATGAACTGGATTCCTGATTCAACTAGCTTAGACACTGTCTCCAAGTGATCTGCATACTTTTTCATCAGGGAGCGGACGTGTTCCAGTTTCTCCTCTTGGTTTCTAGTGATTATTTGTGTCATCTCATTTTTCCTTTCTTCCAGTATTGCATACAGATAATCAAATTTTTCACACAGTTGCTCTTTCTGTCTTCTGCAGCTTTCCTGTGAATCATTTGGTTTATGTTAAAAGTGTTATGTTGCTTAAAAGTGTTTCTATTTTTACAATTGCTTGGAAATATTTTTGTCAAAGAAATCCTTTTCTGAACAATACAAGGGTTTTTTTCAAAGACCCCTGAGACATTTGTAATTTTCTAAGTGAAAACTGTTTGAAAAAAAGTTTTGTGAATACTTGTGAATATTTTTTTTAAAACAAATAGACTGTTTCATTCCCAGCATGCTTAAAAAGGTGAAAGACATTTATGTTATTCTGTAATACTTAAGAGTTTGTAGGTAACTCAGGAAAATAATTGCCATATTAACAACTAAATGAACAGAACAGGACAGATGAGCTCAAATGAGTTCTAGAGAAAATTCCATCCTCACCAGAGCTCCTGAAATGTTACTGAGTCTGTGAGGTCCAATTTATCCTTTGGGCCCCTTTAGACCACTCGAGTAGCATGAAGGGGCCTTAAAGTGAGTGTCAATTATGCTACATTTGCTGTGCACTGAATTTGGCAAGGGTCCTATGGCAAAAATAGTATGTGGCCAGGTAATTAAAGACTATCATAACAACACAAAGGAGAAAATTAAGATTCCAACCTAAATTCTTGCTTTTCCTAACTTTCAAACAGTTGACTATGCAACCTAAATAATATTTCTTTAGAGTAGTAATTTTTACTGTAATAAATGTGCCTTTCTTGTACCTGTCATTATTCATGTTGTCATTTTAGCAGATCACAGAAACTTAAAAAAGAGTGGGATTGATGAATGGTGTGGGAAGTAGTATTGATGAATCTATATGTGGTGTCCTTCCCTAGTTGGAGTAAGGACTGAATCAGCTCCCCAGGAAGACATTTGGAGCCACTGTATTGTTGCCATCCGTCAAATGAGACATAAAGATTAGCTCCTGATCCCTTTTGATAGCTAAAGATCCCACATGACTCTTTGCAATAGTTAGGGGTTTGTGACAGATGTGGCCAAAATTAAATAAACAGTTGTTGGGTATCCTTCTGTTTTCTCTTCCTCTCTTTTAGTCTATTCCTCCTTCCGCTTTTACCTTTTTTACACTCCCTCCCCCCATTCTGTTTCCCATTTTGGTTATGTCTATACTACACAGGTGTTTTTGGGAAAACAGCCATTTTTCCGAAAAAACTTCATTTATGTCCAATTGTGTTCTTTCGAAAAAAATCGAAAGAACAGAGCGTTTTTTTTCAACGTTGGTAAACCTTTTTCCATGAGGAAGAAGCCTTTTTCCGAAAGAGTCTTTCTCAAAAAGGTGTGTGTGGACGGGGAAGAGGGAGTTCTTTTGAAAGAAGAGGAAAGAGGAAAAAGCACAGGTGCCCTGGTGGCCACTCCATCCATAGTAATCACAGCTTAAATGCAAGATAGCGCCCATTCAGTAGGCTACACGCGGCACGGAGTCCGCACTAGCGGACATTTAAAAATGGCGGCGCCCGGCTTTATGCAAATGAAGCCCGGGAAATTCAAATCCCAGGCTTCATTTGCAACTCCGGTTGCCTACATTACCATCCTAGTTTGAATTAGGGTGGTAGTGTAGACATACCCCAAGAGAGGAAAGAGCATCTTCTTGGACAGGCTTTCAAAACTAGTGAGGAAGGCTTTAAATTAGGTTTGTTGAGGGATGGTGACCAAAGCCCTGAGGTAAGTGAGGAAGTCGGACACAAGGAGGATCGAGCAAAACAGTAGGACTAATGGAAGTAAGATTATTTCCTTCTTACTGCATGATCAAGAAGGAACTTGGGACTGCATGATCAAGGCGCTATTGTCTTGTCTAGCACACATTATTACTCAGAGGTTCAGCCAAAGGTACCGTCTCCATCACCTAATGACCTATTAATTTCTTTCTCTACAGACACCAGAATACTCAACACCTTTTGTGTAACATCTGCATGTTCCCTACTTCTCTGTATCTTTATAACTGGCCTTATGCTTTCCCTTTGCTGTTCAGCTATTTAAAAAACGGGGATTATGCATAGGAAGAGCAATTCGGGTTTTAGCTTCTGTTATGCCTGCCTCCCCCCATGTTCAAATAATGCTTTGGAATATTTGATCAAGGAAATCCTAAAAAGGGTTGCCATTTCACACAGGAGTTTTAAAAATTTACTCTTCTTCTGACATTTCCTTGAAATGAGTTTATTCCTTAATCGTTTCATATGCTTCCAATGCTGCTTAATCCCTTCAAGTTACATTCTTCTGTTTATTACTTTAAGAAGTAAGCAACAGGAGCAGATGAACTTCTGCTAATCAAAGATCCTGGTTTCATGAAAACATCCCTCAGCATTAAAGCAAAAATCTCAGTAAATAAACTTGTATACAGTCAAAATTGTGTCTAAATTCAGGCTGCATCAGTAGCTTAAATCTTGGTGTGTTGCTTTGAACCAAGAGGACTCTCTAGTTCAGAAGTGTTCCTGACTGAGCTATATTAACATACGTCACATCTATCCCTAGTAACCAGTTATGGCTTCACCAGTATCTTATTTTCTGGCTTTCTCTCTTATAGGTTGGACTCAAGGTGTTTTTTGGCAGATCAGGCCAGTGGTTTGGAGACAATGATAATGATGGTGACAAAGTTTCCGTTTTCCATGATCTGGATGGTTCAGTGACAGGATATCCAGACACCTTCGTCGGCAGAGCAGACAACTACCTGCTTCGCCATCCAGGTTGTCTTACGGTCCCACGATGGAATGGAATGATCTGTACTGGGAAATATGCGCAGGTAACACAGGGAGATGCCAAGAAAGGCATGTTAGCAATAAGAGGATTATCAGAGAGGTTGTGGGGCCCTTACTGGATGAGGGAGGTAACCTAGTGACAGATGATGTGGGAAAAGATGAAGCACTCAATGCTTTCTTTGCCTCTGTCTTCACGGACAAGGTCAGCTCCCAGACAAATTCACTAGGCAACACAGTATGGGAAGGAGCTGGACAGCCCTTGGTGGGGAAAGAACAAGTTAGGAACTATTTAGAAAAGCTAAACTTACACAAATCCATGGGCCCCGATTTAATGCATCTGAGGGTACTGAGGGAGTTGGCAAATGTCATTGTGGAGCCTTTCGCCATTATCTTTGAAAACTCGTGGAGATTGGGAGAGATCCTGGATGACTGGAAAAGGCAAATGTAGTGCCCATCTTTAAAAAAGGGAAGAAGGACAATCCAGGGAACTATAGACCAGTCAGCCTTACCTCAGTCCCTGGAAAAATCATGGAGAGGATCCTCAAGGAATCCATTTTGAAGCACTAGGAAGAGGGAAAAGTGATCAGGAATAGTCAACATGGATTCACAAAGGGCAAGTCGTGCCTGACCAATCTGATTAGCTTCTATGATGAGGTAACTGGCTCTATGGATATGGGAAAGTCAGTGGATGTGATATATCTTGACTTCAGAAAAGCTTTTGATACTGTCTCCCACAATATTCTTGCCAGCAAGTTAAGGGAGTATGGATTGGATAAATGGACTGTAAGATGGATAGAAAGCTGGCTAGAGTGTCGGGCCCAACGGATAGTGATCAACGGCTTGATGTCATGTTAGCGGTCGGTTTCTAGTGGAGTGCCCCAAGGATCGGTTCTTGGACCGGTTTTGTTCAACATCTTTATTAATGACCTGGATGAGGAGATGGATTGCACCCTCAGCAAGTTTGCAGGTGACACTAATCTAGGGGAGAGGTAGACACACTGGAGGGCAGGTATAGGGTCCAGAGTGACCTGGACAGATTAGAGGATTATAGAATCATAGAATCATAGAATAATAGGACTGGAAGGGATCTCGAGAGGTCATCGAGTCCAGCCCCCCGCCCTCAGATTGAGCCAAAAGAAATCTGCTGAGGTTCAACAAGGACAATTTACAGAGTCCTGCACATGGGACGGAAGAATCCCAAGCATTGTTACAGGCTGGGGACTGAATGGCTAAGTAGCAGTTCTGCAGAAAAGGACCTGTGGATTACAGTGGATTAGAAGCTGAATATGAGTCAACAGTGTGCCCTTGTAGCCAAGAAGGCTAATGGCATATTAAGGTGTATTAGGAGGAGCATTGCCAGCAGATCTAGAGAAGGGATTATTCCTCTTTATTTGGTTCTGGTGAGGCCACATCTGAAGTATTGTGTCCAGTTCTGGACCCCCCACTATAGAAAGGATATAGACGCATTGGAGAGGGTCCAGCGGAGGGCAACCAAAATGATTAGGGGGCTGGAGCGCATGACCTATGAGGAGAGACTGAGGGTTTGTTTAGTCTGCAGAAGAGAAGACTGAGGAGGGATTTGATAGCAGCCTTCAACTTCCTGAAGGGAGGTTCCAAAGAGGATGGAGAAAGGTTGTTCACAGTAGTGACGGATGGCAAAAAAAGGAGCAATGGTCTCAAGTTACAGTTGGGGAGGTCTAGGTTGGATATTAGAAAAAACTATTTCACTAGGAGGGTGGTGAAGCACTGTAATGGGTTATCTAGGGAAGTGGTGGAATCTCCATCCCTAGAGGTGTTGAAGTCTCGGCTTGACAAAGCCCTGGCTGGGTTGATTTAGTTGGGATTGGTCCTGCCTTGGGCAGGGGGCTGGACTTGATGATCTCCTGAGGTCTCTTCCAGCTCTATGATTCTATGATTCTAAGTTTTTTCAGAAGATCTCTTCCGGAAAAGCTTCTTCCAAAAGAAGCCTGCAGTCTAGACATAGCCTGAGTGTGCCTCTCTTTTCTCTTGCTCCACCCTTAACTTCCATTTTGACTGTCTACAGCTATGTTCCCTGAGCCTTCACACAGGTAATACTGTACCATCAAGCATAATTCCAAGACGGGTGCATTACACATTCTTCACATCAATATTATATAGGAAGAGTTAGGGAATTGGATGACCTAACATCCATCCTTTTCTCTTTCTTTCTTTCTTTCTTTCTTTCTTTCTTTCTTTCTTTCTTTCTTTCTTTCTTTCTTTCTTTCTTTCTTTCTTTCTTTCTTTCTTTCTTATATAATTACCTAACTACATATTTAAATACAGAGAGAGAGCGAGAGAGAGAGAGAGAAGGGCCTCATCCAATTCCCTAAAATCTGGAATTTTATTACATTACAATTTGTAATCGGCATCTATTATAGAAGCCACTGATGATAAACTCCATATATCTCCACAATGTCCTGATTTCCAAAATCTTTTTGTTTTGAAAATTTTCATATTTAATCTGTGAGCAGTTTTTTTTGTTTAAATCTGACCAAACCACCTCATCAGTTTTTGAGTTACACAAGTATACTCTCAAAATTTTTTTTTTGAGGTACACAAGTATACTCTCAAAAAATATTTTTTTTAAAACTAATCTACAGCAAAAAAAGGGATACAAGATGAGAACAGGCACACTCATCACTGATTACTGGTGCCATTGCTTGTTTTGAAAAATAGTGGCTTAATTTAACAAAATGCTGAGCATCAGAGAATGGTATAGTAAGGTAAGTATCTTAACTATACATATTTATGCAGGATATGGAAGTTCCTACTTTATTTTGTATTTGACTCACATTTTGTAGTCCTAAATATTTGATTTTTTTTCATTATGGTTCTCCATCATATAGATTTTCAAAATTCACTGCTGTTCTCAATAGAACATATGAACTTGTGTTACTTTTTGGTTAGTCTGTTGTAATTTTGACATATGTAAGCTTGTTTTTAAAAACCCTTGCATAGAAACTGTAGCTAAATTTAGAACTGTGGGCTTACTGCTTACAAGAGCTAAAAGCAACCTGACCACATTCTTTCAGTATTGCTCATTCTAAAATAGTATATGTAGTGCAATGTATTGACTTAAGTAGAGGACAGGAAAAAACAGCAGGCTTGATTCTACCATCTCTTGGTTCCAGCTGTTCATCTGAACCTTCAAGGTCAAACTGATGTCAGATTCAAATGATGGTTATGTGATAGCAAGAAGGATGATTTGTCTGCAATGTGAAGTGAAAGCACTATGTAAAATTGGAGTCTCTGTTTCCAGTAATTTCTTATTTTATGGATGCAAAGCCTGTTAAGGTGTGTGAAGGTAGAAAGGCTCTGAACTTCTTGTTCTATCAACCTCAATTTCTGATTTGTAGTTAAAAAGGTGGGTATTATATGTGATTGAATGACTTTGAGAAAGCTAATTTTAGATATTGCTGTATTTATGTATGTATTTTTGATGGAGTGTTTTCTGTAAACTTCAGTTTATATGTTTGAAGTCTTGTTTTTGGATTAACTAATAAAATGTGACGGGAAAGAAACCTAAGCTTTTGTACTATTTTAATTTCTACACTTAACTTACTTGAAAGGCTTATTTCTGTCTGCAAACTCTTGATAGCAGCCAATTTCATCCTTGCAGAGCAAAGACTTCTTGACTACAAAGTTTTGACTTTGCCGCTTACGTCCTCTCTCATTTCGGTGGGTTAACAGTTTCATATTCTTTGAACCAAATTCTGGACATTATCAGTTCTTCCTTACTCTGGTTACAGAGTGAAAAAGGTGCCCCTGGCAACTGTGCATTAGACTGTGGAAACAATTTGTCTTGCCATTAGACCCTATAAATATTGTTTTAAAATGTTATTTACTGCACTTGCTATGTATTGCTTCTATTTTGAAGAATCAGTAGGTTTTTGATCCCCCCCCCGCCCGCTCTTTTGGTGTGTGATTGGTTCGTGAGTCATCTGAAGAAGTGAATTGTGCCCACGAAAGCTCATGATACCATCTCCATGCTTTGTTTGTCTTTAAGGTGCTACTAGACTATTCATTGTTTTTAAAGTTTTTCCTTAATTTATCCTGTTAGTTTACAGGACCTTAGTATAAAATTTACTTTAAAAATATTTCATTAGTGTGTTGCTGAAAACTGTAAAATCACATCTCTAAAAATCATCATCCCCTCCCTTCTCCTGGGCTGCTATTGGGCATAGTGACATCAGTTTAATAGTACTGCATAGAGCTCCATAAATCCTAAAGAAATCCCTGCTTAAAGTGAATTCATACAGGCTCCTTCCATAGCCTGTCAAAATGTGCTGCTCCCCAAATGATCAGAATAATTATCTTTATTTGCTCTATTGATACAAACATGTTGGGAAAAAGGCACTTATGCAAGCAAAAGAATGAAATCCATCCCAGCTCTCTCATAGAAAAAGCCTTACCCAAAAAACAAAACAAAACAAAACAAAACAAAACAAAAACCCTCAAAAAACAAAAAAATCCAAATTGGTCTCCTTAAAGTATAAGTCATGCAAAAGTAGTTTACTTTCAGTATATTTAAGACAACGTAAATAAATACATGACTGAAATGTCTGGGGTGATAAACTACGGGTGCGAATAAGGCCCTTTTCTCCTGTTGGCTTCAATGGATCAGGATGAGTACCCAGATGAATATTGATCTCTTACACCCTAGTCCTGAGAGATGCTGTATTCCTGATCCTAGGTGCTGATTTCATTTAGAGCTGATGGCACACAATACTTTCCAGGATTGGACCCTGATGCCTTAGTTAGGCTGTATGCCAGTGTATCTCAACCTCTTTTTATAAAGTACACCCTTTAAAAAAAAAATTATAAGTACCCTTAGTACCTACAGTTTTCAGACACACAATTTTTTTCCCTACCATTGCAAGACATTTGTTTAAACAGCTTAATCGTAGCTGGGTGGGTGGTGAAATTTTGGGGTGTAAAAAGTACAAAAATAATAAAGCGCTGTAAAACTTTTTAAAAAATTCAGTTTTCTCCAAATTTCAGTTGTGTTGACATACCCACCCCCAGACTTCTCTCGAGTACCCCTACAGGTACTCATACCACTGGTTGAGAAGCACTGCTGTATGCTACTAAATTAAAGCACAGTGTCTACTAACTCTACAAAGACACCCTTCATTCTAATGTAATACACGACTATCATTAAACATTAGCATGCTTGCATTTCTTCTCCTTTTCACACCAACTGTATTGCAGTCTCTCGTCTGAGTTGAAGTTAATCTAAGGTTAGAGTAAATGGGTCTTTTGCTAAGGCATATCCTTTTTGCAGTAGCCTACCCATGTATCTAACCATTGTTCCATGATCAAATATGTGCTCTTCCCTGACTACATGTGCTTGATCTCTGCCTGCCCTTTGGCTCACATGACACAAGAAGGCATCTCTCCATGAGTTCAAAGAGGGTCTCAAAGCGCAGTTATCAATGGTTCTGTTCACTGCTAAGCTGGGAGATCTATTTAGTGAATACCACAGGGATGAGTCCTGGGTCTGGTATTACTCAGTATTTTCATTGGTGATTTGGACTGCGGTGCCTCCTCCAGCCCTTAGTACTGGCTGGAGTGCACCATGCCACATCCCCATCTTCCCAGGCAGCCCTCGGAGCTGCCCAGAGTGCACCATGTAGAGCTCCATAGGCGATTTAAAGGGCCTGGGGCAGTAATGGGGGCAATGGCCAGGAGCCCTGGGTACTTTTGAATGGCTGGGCCCAGGGTAATTGCTCCCGTTGCCCTGTCCCCACCATTAGCGGGTGTGTAACCAATATGTCCCTGGGCTTCACATTCAACTTACCTCTACTGTCCTGCAGGTTTCCTCTAGCTGCCCTACTATTCCTTGCACTCTGTCATTAGTGCCCACGAGCACTGCAATGCCATCACTGAGTTCAGACTAAACAGCAGGAGAATGAGCATAGGCAGAGTTAATAATATGCACCGCCGGCAGTTTTACTTTAAAAGCTTTCTTCTCATGCACTTTTCACAAAATATCACATATAACCTGAGATGTGAAGACAGTGGATGAGTGGGCTACACAACGATATATAATTGCTCAGCACTAGCGCTGATAAAAAAAAAAATCCATCCTACGGAAAATTCTGATATTTTGACATTTTGTTTTCATCCTGATCTAGAATGAAAATTTGAAATGTTTTCTGGAATTAAAATTTATGAAAAATTGTGACACACCTTTAACGCTTCCAAAAATGCACTGGAAAAAATGTTCAGTCATATCCATTTGCACACGCAAAAAAGCACCTTTTGAGCTGACAATGGGGGTAACTATGTACAAAAATCTGATTTTGCAGTAGTCAGGCAAGCTATTCACAGTGAATAAATTATTTCATTAATTTAGCTCCTTTTTCTGTTCCTGAGTTATCTGTGAATAAATTATAATTTGTATGAATTTGTTAACTGGCCAAGTTTGCAAGGCCTTACCACTCAACTTGATAACATTTGGCTGAAACATAATAACTTCTGAATGCCACATCCAATCATCTGTGGCCAGAACCCAGTTGATTATGGTCAAAACCCAGGAAGGAGGGAGGGAAATGCAAAATAGATGAAGCCCCTGGCATCCAATTAGCTCAGCTACCAGGTTCAGTTACCTCTGTAATTGTTGGTTGATGTTAGCCAATCACACCTCCTAATATATCAACTCTCAGTTTAGCTCTGTCCATCCTCCCAAAAGAATTTAAAAAGATTGACTCACTGAATGTGAAGAAAGAAGAATGGTGTAAGGCAAGGGAAGAATGGAGGGACATGAAGGGAGGAGGTAAGGCATCCCACATAGAACCCCTGGAATGGGGGAGGACAGCAAATGAGGGGGTAGATAGAATTGCTAGTTTGTGGGGGGGGGGGAGTCCTTGATATGGGGGACACGGGGAAAAGAGGGCACACATGCAGAATCCTTAGTATGGAAGAGACTGGGGGACCTTAACATGTGCGAAATGGGAGAGAATACAAAGATTTTGTGATGGGGAAATTGGGAGACCCTGGCATGTGGGGAATGGGAGACTATACTGAACCACTGGCCTGGTGTGAGTGGGAGACCCAGATATTGAAGAGCACGCAGAACCCTTGGCTTGCAGGGAATAGTGGGATAAGGGGAACACAGAGCCTCTGGCATAAGGGAAAGAATGGCAGGGGGCATGGAACCCCTGAAATAGAAAAGGATGGGAAGGTGGCACACAGGAAGATTGTGGGGGAGGACAAGGGAACAAGGGGACACAAGAAGCCTCAGGAATGTGCTATAAACTCCACCTACAGAAGCAACAAAATGCATACCCTTCTAGTTACAAATGCAATAACACGTACAAATATTTGACAGCTATTTTATGCAAATATATTTCATCTTATAGATTGCTCAGGAGCTCAGAAGCAGGTCTGGCTCGAGCCATTCCTGTGCCGAGCAGCAGGTGCGTGATGCATGCGCAGCTCCGCCCCCCCAGCGCGCTGCGCACCTTACAGCTGCAATCGGGCGCGCAGCACCTGATTGCAGCTTTAAGGGGCACCACGCAGCCCCTGGCCCCGGGTGCACAGTGCCCCTTAGAGCTGCCCTCAGGCACCCCCCATAGGTTGGTGCCCTGGGCAGCTGCCCGGCTAGCCCCCCCCTTACTCTAGCCCTGCTCAGAAGCTATTTGTTGTGGCTGCTGCTTCAAATATTCACTATTTCAGTATTTGCATAGTGCTTTGTCACACTAATTCAAGTGGCATTATTTCTGTTCCCTAACTGGATATCTTCCAAATTAACAAGAAGCTCTCAAGACAGTTACCAGAACCTACTGTAATAAATACTTGGGCAAATATAGTCATAAGAACATTTGGGAGATTCTCCACAAACATTCTTGCAAGAAAGTTCTCAGAAAGGAGAGTAACAGAGGGTATAGATGTCAAAGAGATTTCTCCTTTTTTAGTCAAAAGAATTCTTGCAAATACTTTTCCAATGTATTTCCTCAGCTCTAGCTTACACATACATGGGCAGCTATGTAACTTCCCCCACAAAAAACAAACCCAGAAAACACTGGTTAGTATTGCAATTCGGTCTCCTCTGGTTGCCTAACCCACTGGGCCCCCAGAAAATGAACTGTTTATCTCATGAAGATATTCCAGTGAGTCAGACTTTAAATGAGTTTCTTATATTAAAAATAAGTCTTTTACAAGTGACAATAGTGCCAGGGAGTATTAGGCACACAAGGAGCTGCCAGCTATTTAATATCTAAAGCAGAAGAGCATTTCCACCTTAAAGATAAAGATCCCTTTTAAAACAAAAACAAGAGAAGCATCCAGTATAAAACTATTAAGCTATGTCTACACTGCAGAGCTATTTTGGGATACCAGAAGTATACCGAAATAGCTATTCCATGTCTTTTGAGCAAGCCCATTATTTCAAAATATAACAGGCTCGCTATTCCGATGTCCCTGTAAACCTCATTCCACGAGGAGTAAAGGATGTTTCGAAATAGTACTCTATTTAATTTCAAAATAAGATATTTTGAAATTAACTCAAAATAAGCTATGCAATTTGCGTAGCTTATTTTGAGCTCAGGATAAAGTGTAGATGCACCCTTAGACCTGAGTGGGTTTGCTCTCTCCCTCACTTCTACTGTAAAACCTGCCTGTGCTCATGGTCTGAAAGGTCTGAAAACAGAGAAATGTAGAGGAAGATCAACTTAAAAACCACACGTCTGTCTGAAAACATCTCCCTTCTGTTGTTACAGATAAAATGTAAATAATTATAACTGAAAGCAATCAGACAGGAAAAAAATATTTGTTCTCAATTTCTTCTAAAATATTTCAGTCTGAGTTAGTTTCTCTGGATATTTGTGTGTGTCTCTCATATTGCAAGAGGGGAGAAAACAATTTAAAAAAACTAACTAAAAACCAACATCATGTAAATATAGATTATAAAACCACAAAATTGGAAGGGAAGCTAAGAGGAAGGTGTTTCACTTTTAACTTTTTTTTAACTGACCCAATTTCATATTGATGGTGTCCCTTTAATTTGAGTGGGTCATTATGATTAGAAGCAAAAAGATATTTACCTTTTGTCGTTGGTAAACGTTTTTTAGAGGAGCAACCTGGCAGTCTTTATGGGCACCAAAAACTTTGCACATTGAACATGTGGGTATTTCACAGTTTAAACAATAGATATTAATTTTCTCATCCTCATGCTCTTCACACATTGGCTGCTCAGATTTTCTTTCAGGTCTGTGAAAGTCATCATTAAACACATTAAAAGTCATTTGCTTGTTTGGTTTACTGATCTTGATATCAACACCTCTGTTCTTCAACATAAAAACAGCACAAAAGGTTTCAGTCCATAACCACAGAATAGTTTAAACCTTTCAATCAGTAGTGAATAAACAAGTGCAGATCCTTGTAATTTTTCCTGACACAATATGACAAGTTGGGATGCATGACTTCATAGTATGACCCTTATTCAGAAAGGTGCCTGTGTAAGTAAACTCATTCAAGTCAGTGAAATTACTCATGCACTTAAGTTAGGCATGATGTTTAACATCTTTCTGAGTCAGCACCTACATGCTCAATCAGGGCTCAGTCATACAGAAAGTTGAGCTGTCTGGCCTTGATCTGGTAAATTACTTAAGCGGGGTCTTAATTTTTTTACACAAACAGTCCTAAAGAAATCAAAGGAACTTAATATACTTCAAATTAATCCCTGTTACAAATTAAAGAATTCAAACACAGTGGTTGCACCATGCAGGACTGAGATTTTGTACACCATCCATACGAGGCTAGGAACCAAATCAAAGAATTATGTTTGGCATTACATTTAAAATGAGCTTAGCTGAACAAGTTTCTAACATGGACTTTGGATAACTAATTAACACAAACAAAACCAAAAACCAAACCAAAGCTAATGTGTGAGAAGATGCACTGTTTAATTAAGTGTAATAATAAATTAGCAAATATGTAGTTAGTATAATTAGGGCCAGAAGTAGAGTTATGTTAATTTTCATGAGGTGAAGATACGGACCATTGTGTACTATTTTATATTTCATCTCACTGTCATTCATAGGAGAGACTGATTGAGCTCGATAAAGAATGGCTGTTCTAAGAAATGTTGCCTTATAGTATTAGTACGCTTCCTGGGCCAGATTCTACTCTCCATTACACCATTGTGAATCTAAAGCAGTGGTTCTCAATTTTTTTGGCCTATGGTCCATCTAGCTCAATGCAAACCTTTCCATTGACCACCAATTGCTAATGGAAACTCGCTGTTAATTACATAATTACGCACAAGCCAATTTGCTAGTGCTGCAGCTAGGGAGAATGGTTTGATTTAACCAGTAAGAAAAAAATATCAATTTAAATTATTAAACAGATTAAGCACATTAACTTTCTCATGTTATCTTATCAAATTTCATTTTAAATAAAGTAAAATATTAATTTACGTCCAACACAAAAGATTCCCATGTTTTCTGTATTTGTGGCTGGGGTGGGGAACCTTTTTTGGGTCAAGGGCCACCGACCTACAGAAAAATCAGTTGGGGACCACACAAGTGAGAAGCAAAAGAAAAAAACCCTCCCAAACCCCCAACCCTCACTGATCCTCTGGTGCTCCAGCCCCACTAGGGGAAGGGGAGGAACAGGGAGGACTGAGGTGCAGGACTTCCCATAGACCAGATTTATTTCCTGGGTTCCAGGGTTAGTGGATTTTGTGAAACCCTCCCATCCCTGGGCTCTGGGGTTGAGACAAAAATGGGGGGGGGGGTTCAGTG